AAAAAAAAAAAAAAAAAACGAAACACGATAAAGTGCAGAATGTCATAAGTCAATAAACAAGCGAAACTACATTTGTATCCCTCATCAGTAGAAATTTGCGATGCATCGTTGAATCAGCGCAGTTAACCCCACGCACACCCCTCACTTTAATTAAGAGAGAGAGGAACAGACGATTGAACAAAGAGGCAGAGTGTTGTCACCACTGCGAAAAGTACACGAGGGAAAGGGAAAAAACAAAAATTATAAACACGTAGGATGTGTGCTAGATAACATATGCAGGTGTATATGAGCCCAGTCTCTCTTAAATTTCCCGGTCCCGCCTCCTCCTCCTCCTACATTCACAGACGTACACACTGATCGATCGACCTTTTGTAATCCACGATGGATTTTATGAAACTTCTGAATAAGCCTTCAATAGGTATAATGACCCGTTTCCTCCCTCTCTGTGTATATATATTTTTTTCTTTTTGTTCGGCGACGTGGAAATGACGTCACACATGGTGTTCTCGTGGTGGTGTGTACACTTATACACGAGGCCTGCTCCCCCCTCACAGATTTAATTAAGAATGACTTTCCGCATGTGAACAAATTTGAGTTAGAGCACACGAGTGTTTCGAAGCAACCGGTAGGGCACAGCAGCGAAGATGGGATGAGTAGTGTCTGCAGCACTGAGGCGGTTACAGAGTAGCAGTTACGGAGTTGCAGTTGCCATGCGAGCGTAGCTAACCCGCTGCTCTCCCCCCCCCTTTCCCACCCGCGCAGTTCCTCAAGAGCGGATTCACCTTCGCCAACAACACGTACAGTATCTATGCCAATTTGAAAAACAGCATTTACAATACAAAAAATGAAATTAAATTCGACGCGACGGGAATAAGTCTGCTGGATGTCAAGTACCAGGTATCTCTCCCTTCTGCCCCGTCACGCTGTGAGGAGTAGCGATGACGTGGGAGAGACGCAGCATGAACGCAGCAGAGGAGCAGCACGAGAGCAGCGCGCATGACTTGTTCACATCGCATGGTACCCCCTTTACACCGGTTCCACGCAGCCCGCCTACGTGAAAGAACTTAACCTCTGCGGCAAGTACACCAAGGGTCAAGGAAAGGAAGAAGACACCTTCGAGGTGTACAGTGAGTACACATCAGATTACATGAGCGTATTTTCATCAGTCAATGTGAAGAAACTTTATTTCAAATACATGCACGTCGGTTCGCATCCCAAGTTCCCCGAGTTCAAGTTTGGAGGTGAGCGCAGCGTTGCTCGTTTGTGGCGTGAGCGGTCCGGTGAAGTGGGCCCCGCGGGGTGCGTTTCTACCCCCACATTTGCGCTCGTTACACACTGATGCGCGATTGGCACTTGGTGTTTCATTTTTCAGGGCTGTTGCAGGGAAAGCTAGAGGTGAAGAATCTGCAATACTCATTTGGAGGAGCCTACGTGAAGAACAACAGTGACAACCAATACATCTTATCCCTGCGATCGTAATGTTGCTTGTGACGGGAGCGACAATTGTGTCCCCGTTTCGCTCACCTTTTCCGTGTGGACATAATTCCTGGCGTGCATTTATCACAATGGTGTGTGTCTCATTGGTCGGTCACTTTGCCCCTTTTTTCCCTTTTTTTTTTTTTTTTTTTTTTCTTTTGTAGCATTCCAACGAACAAGCACGCCTATGGAAGCTTCGCATTGAATTTCTTTTTTCAGAACAAAAACTTGAATGACAACGCAGTGAGTGTCGAGCTGATTCAAAATATTGCAGAAAAGAAGTCCACGATAAACGTGGCTTCTATTTGGTATATGAATGATAAGAACACTGCTGTGAAGACTAAAATTAGTAATGACACTAAGGTGGCTTTGTCGTTGACGCACAAGTATAACGAGTTTGTGTCCATTTCTCTGGGTTCCCAGGTACCATCACTCTCGCGCCAGAGATGAGGCGCCCGTTTGAACAAACTGCTACGAAACGTAGGAGCTATAATAAGGCTCTCATCACCCCCCCCCCCCCCCCTGCTGCAGGTCGACATCACGAAAATGTCTCTCCCGGATAGTACCAAGGTTGGAGTAAAGTTGTTTTTGAAATCTTGAGCCAAGTGGGAAGAAAGCTTGGCCTGTTGGCAAACACCCTCCCCCATGCAAGTCGATCCTCCACCTCGGTATGGAAGTACAAATCGCGGCGCACATGCTGCTGTGGTGCTATTTTTATAGCCCAACATGTGTATATGTTCGCTACTGCACAAGCATTTCTGCTTCATTTCATTTCGTTTCATTTTATATATGTGTACATATATATGTATGCATATACGTATATATACGCACGTATGTGCATACGTTTTTGGAAGGGTCTGCGAAAATTATGTGGTCATATATAAATACACCTTTTTGTTGTTAAAGAGAGTAGAATAATATTCACACAACATTTTCATACGTCAGATTTGAACTTTATTTTTCGGTACCCTATATGAATAGAAAAAAAAAAACTTTTTAACATTTTTGCATAACAGAATGACGCAAAGTACATTTATCCATTTATAGCGACTAAGGCTCGTAGGGATGCGTTGGTAAAGATTTGTGATAGGGACGTATTATAAAATACATGTCGCCATAAATATAGTATATGACCCTTATATATATACATTCCTGCATTTTATATAATGGTTTATTATTAAAAAAAAAAAAAAAAGCCTTAAATGAAAACCGTCTGAAGGAAAACCCTTAATAACTCAAAACAAAAGTAAGACTTACAAAATAAGAATTTATAAATGGGCTTAAAACATTTTCTTTTATTAGGGATATAAATGCATTATTTAGTTATTGCTTTTTTTCAGTGAAAATGAATAATATGTAACGACGCTGTTTTGTTATGATTTTTATATACAATATATACTATACCCATGTTACTATTAATTTTTCTAAAGAGCTGTCTCGTATAATATAATAAATATAAATTCTTTTATATTTTATATATTCCGATTCTCCTGTAAATTAAAAAAAAAAAAAAAAGTTAAAAAAAAAATGACTTGTTTTGTTAAATACAACATTAATTCTTTCCATTTTTGTAAATGACATCTTCATTTTATAACTAATATGTATATGTTTTAGAACACATAAGAACACATTTTTTAAATGTTATAAGAATACAACAACCAACTACCCTTTGAAGAACGAAGCAATAAAATTTGTTGAAGGTGTATATTAAACTATGAACAAAAAGTCGTCATATAAAAAAGGGCTCACAGTTCCACGGCTCCGCATGCATTTTTGAAATATTAAAATAATAAAAGCGCATGTACCACAAAAAAACCAATGAAAGGGTAATAAAAGCATACAATAATGTAATTATTCAAATTGTAACTTACATATGCTACCTTTGCAGCCCCTCATGGGAATAACTTCTAAAGTAATAATTTGCCTTCACGTAACAAATATTAATAAATTTTAATATCGCGCATTCATTATTTTGTTCTGTGCATATATTTTGCTATAATATCTGAAACGGGCTTTCCCCTCTTTTACAGGTTTTTTTTATTTTTATGGATGCAACGTTTTATTATTTTAAAATATATTTTCAAATAAATATCGCGTCCATGTTACATACAAAAAAATATTTAGTGCACCATCGGACATTATGGCTTTAAACACCTAAGATCCTCAAGTCCTGCACGCAAAAAACAGTTGTATTTCGTGTTTTTAACTTTTTTTTAATTTTGTAATTTTATTTGTTTACCCTCTTTGTTGTTTTCTAATTCGCGTTTAAAAATAAATTAATTAAAAATTTAGAGTAAAACTATTTTTTAAGTTCTCATTTTTAATAAAAGAAATTTTTATTTAAACAACAATAAAAACAACAATAAAACTAGGAAAATACGAATTTTTATTATTATAATTATATTATATTCGCTTTCATTTAAAGACTGTAAAACTTTCTGGTCTTTTTTTTGCCAATCTTCTGGTAAGCTTTTTAAAAAAAGTAATTTCTTAAAAAACTTTATTATAATTTTTTTATATATTTTTTAAAAGGAAGCAACAATTTTAGCATTAATATACGTATTTCTGTAGGGACGCAGAATAAAAATTAGAACTGCTCAAAAGAGCATGCATATATATATATATATATATATAAATTCTGCATTATCATATTTTAATTCCTTTTCCTTTGTTTTTTATAGAAGCTATAATTTTCATATAGGAATAAGAAATATATAAATTATCTCCTATACACATCGCGCGAAGAGTATTATTTTATATACTTACAAAAACGAGAGAGAACTCGTACGAGCCTCGTATTATTTCTTAAACATACGCATCAAATAACAACATGGCAAATTCGAACAAAACAACATCGTCCAGCGGCGTCGTACAAGGAGCGTCGCCATCCCGCAATGGCAAAGTAGAATCCGCACCCAGGTCCTTCTTCTCCAAGAGAATGGCTATCCTTTTCATTGTTTCTGCGTATATCTTTTTAAAGGTAAGCTCACTGAAAAAGAAAGAGGCATGCTGATATATGCATGTATGTAGAGTGCAAATTTGTACGAGTGGCTATATATATATGCCATGTACGTATAGTGTATATATATATATATTACCGTATGCATATTTATTGCCTCCCCTGCTATGTGCTATATTGCCCTTTCCCTTTTATACCTTTTTATTAATTCAACGCATCACCATACTTCCTTGCCGCTATAGCACCAAGATGACTTACAAGGACAGGGAGGAGAGCAGTTGGCCAAAGTGCAAGTACCTAACAGAGTTATTAGAAGTTTAGCAAAGGAAACCGAATCTCAATCAGAAGATGAGGGTGAATTAGAGGAGGTGGAATACGAAAATGATGAAGATGCTGAACAAGAAGTGTATGAAGAATCACGGGAATACGTAGGTGATGATGAGGAGGTGGAAGGAGAAGAATTTGTAGAAGCACAGGAAGAGATGCCAGAAGGAGGTTATTCTGATGAGGAATATGAAGAGCAGGCTGTTGAAGGA